TTTAATTATGACAACAATTTGTTCAAAATAAGGTTAAGCCAGACCATCACTATTTGGGATGAAGGTGTTGGAAGAGCAGCAGTGGGAAAGTATGGTAGTGGCTTGATATTCCTGGGTCCTGAATGCCCTGGAGACCACAGTGGAATTAGAAGCCCTGGGCAGCTTAGCTGCTGCAAGCTCTAGTCAGTGGAAGGCTGGATACTTCTGGGAGCACAAATAGAGATGTACACACATCTATGTACCATCCTCACATGAGCACAGATAGATGAAGAAAAACACGGTATAATTTCTTCATGTCTCTCCAGTGGATCAAATTCATTCATTAATTTGTTTCTGCAACATATCTTTGAATCCCATTGTGCTAAGTGCTGAGATACAAAGATATGCAAAAATAAGCAGGACTTCTATCATAGGAAGAATACAGGATAATGAAAGCAAAAGGCTTGGATCAAAGAATGACACAATATGTACAAAGGCAACTGTGCTAAGGACTTTGATGGAGGGGCCCCTGTGTCAGGTGAGTATATAAGATTGGTGTTTGGTATGTCTGGAGCTTCATTGCTGGTACTCATGGAAAGCTTTACCTGGGAAGTCCCAACAGACCTCAAAACTGGACAGGGAGGGTAGTGTGATGGGGAATATTCTAGGGAGTATACACAAATCTTTTAAGTGTCCATGTTGGGAGCTTCCAGGGAGATGCAGGGTGTGCCTTCTGATCATCCCTATATAGCTGGTCTTATGTTGTAAGTTTATCAGGAAGCAATTGAATGGTTTTCACCAGAGTATGATGTGGTTCAGATACAAATTTGTCAATGACTTCTTTCACAGCTGCATGGAAAATATATTGGAAGGGAAAGAGAGTAGGTGTGGGGAGACCAGTTGGGATATTTTGGTGGATGCCATTGAGAGAAGAGTGAAAGTTTGAATCAGGGTGCATAAAACTGATAGGTATGCTGAGCTTGGTACCTGGCTGCCTCTGGCAATGAGAAAACCATACAAGCCCTAGGCTCATTCTTCATAGATTGAGAGTCCTGTAGGATGCAACTAGGAATCATATATTTATGATAGGAGTGTTAATTGTGCTCAACAGGAAATCAAGCTGTCACTTGGTTAAAAGAAGATGGGACAATGTCGTCTCGCAGGGCAGCAACCTTGAGAGAAGCACAGGATGAAGAAAAAATAACTCTAGGTCCACATAGTGAGAGTGAGAGAGGCCTAGAAGGACTACATCTCTAGAGATGTAGCGCCAATTTCTGGGCCAGTCCACATTAATTTGTTATCAGATTCAGGGAAGGTGGGAAAGTCTGTGGAGGAATGTGTGGAGGAATGTGGTTGGTGGGGATGTGGATTGGGGATGCATAAGAGTCTATCACAAGCTAGGGGAGGATGAATAGGGGCTGTTGCTTGGGGGGGGGGGTCCATTGTTGCTGCTGATCAAAACATCCTATCTCTAGTCTTTGTTTTACACTTAATTTCCTGTCAAGTTGGTCTAACTGGTTATGCTAATCTGACTATAATATCTACTTGATATTTTCAGCAGATATCCTCATATCAAGATTTTTGTCCTGGTAAGAGGCTCCCTGCCTGACTCTACATTTAACTTAACCAGCAGCAAGTTTGGGTGCCCCAAGCAAAATCCCAAGAACAAGGGGACCTGGGGGATTGACAGGACAGCTGTTGAGGTAAAAGGACTCCAAAGGGTGTTATGCCCATTAAACCAGTCAAACACTGTTGAGTGTGGTCCCTCAGTGCTTTTTATTGAAAACAATGCTTGATGGGCATAATTGTTAGGGGGAAAAAGGATGTCCTAAAGCTAATTCCATACAGGCTTTGTAGACTCCACCCCCCACTCCAGACCAAAGCCAAAAGACACTGGGAACTCCAAATCCCATCACCACCAAAGGGAAGGTGACTAGGACCTGAGGGTGGGGTTAAGCAGCCAGGTGTGGTATAAAGCCAGACACGTGGGCTTTGGAGGGGATCCCCCATTTTGGCTCCCCGCCAGCTCACAGCATTTGGCCAGCTCTGAGAGTGCCTTTGGGTTTCCAGGTCGGCGGATCGGATCAGGTAGTACTCATTAAGGACTTTATTTCCCTATTTTCTCCCTGAGTTGTACATTTCCTTAATTCCTTTTCCCTTGTAAATAAACCTTTTATTAACCTTTTGTGTGTGCCTGTGGTGGAGCATTAATAAGTCCCTTTTAAATGCGCAGGTGAGGACCCACAGCCAGGCAACCCGTTTTATTTTATATCGGGGTTGCTCTATAACATAATGACCATAAAATATCTAGGTTTTTGAAACTTAAAAGTAATATGGAACTAGCAGAGATGTTTTAGCATATATCAAGTTTCCTTGAGTAACTGGAAATGAGAGCTTTTATGAAGGTTATATTGAGGCCTCTGTGCAGCTAATGAGGAAACTTACCTGGAGGTAAGAATGGGTTTCAAGTCTAATGTCATTGTTTCCTACAACTGCCCTGGGCTGTGGCATCTGGTAGAACCTTACACATTCCACCCAATCACATAATTCCCAACTTCAGTTTCTGCTATGTGATTGCTGGAGCCCTTTTACAGATCATCCTGTGCTTGAAATGACAGGAGCCCAACTCTTGCAGTGTCTTTCACCTTTGGGATGTTTGATTCCACACAACAAGAATCCTTCATTTCAAAAAAGAAAAATATCGGATGGTTTCACTTATAGGAGAAATGTAGGGGAACCAAATAAGGGATGAGGAAAAAAATAATTATCATAAGTTAAAAAACAAAATAAACAGGCAACTATTAATTAGAGACACTCTTCAGGGGAGGGAGCGGGATCAAAACAGGGGAGGGAATGTGTTCTTGCACAGGGCACTATGGTGATGGTGCACAGGTGATTTGGTGATGGGAATTTTGCAGGGACTACACCTGAGAGGAGAAAGCATGCATTGTACAAAAAGGAAGAACAATGTAAAATATATATAAAATTAAAAAAAAAAACTAAAATAGGCACGTTCATAGAAACAAGAAGTAAATTAGAGTTTAGAGTTAGAGGGAATGAGGGATAAGGGATTACTGATTAATAGGCACAGAGTTTCTGTCTAGTTGATGAAAGAGTTTTGGAAACAGTGTGGTATAATTGCATAACATTGTAAATATAATTAATGCTACTGAAAAGTGCACTTGAAGTGGCTAAAATGGCAGATATTGCATTACAATTATCATATTATGTTTTAAAAATTAAGCGGTATAAAATATTTTTGTTGGAGTGTGGACAGGGAATAAAAAAATATTTCATTAAACATAAAAAAAAAAAGTTCTTCATTTCCCAGAGTGCCATGCTGTGCTTTCTGTGCCTGCATATTCTTCTGGATCACTGAGGACTTTGTTACTTAACATTTACTGCCATTTTCTGGTCTTAATAAGGTCAGGAAAAGTTGATTCTTTATCACCCTTTTCCTTAGAAAATCTTAATAAGCTGGATTCTGAAAACCTTTGTGGTCACATTGTTACAGGGCAGCCCTGATACAAAACGGGTTGCCTGACTGTGTTTCCTCACCCGCGCGCTTAAAAGGACTTATTAATACTCTACTGCAGGCACACGCGAAAGGTTAATAAAAGGTTTGTTTACAAGGAAAGGGCAAATGAGGAAATGTACAACTCAGGGAGAAAAGTGGGAGACAAAGTTTTAAATGCACCCTATCCGATCCGCCGATCTGGAATCCCAAATGGCACTTTGAGAGCTGGCCGCGAGCGAGCCACCAGCCGTGAAGCCAGGAGGCAAACGAGAGAGAGACCCTAAGGCCCATGTGTCTGGTTTTTATACCAACCCTGGCTGCTTAACTCCACCCTCAGGTCCCAGCCACCTTCCCTTTGGTGGTGACGGGATTTGTCTTTCCCAGTGTCTTGATGGCTTTGGTTTGGAGTAGGGGTGGGGTCCACAAAGCACGCATGGAATTAGCTCAGGACATCCTTTCCCCCTAACAAGAAGAAGATCTCTTCTGTCCTCTCTCCCAACTGACTTCATTTAGCAAATGAATGACTGTGCATTTATTCAGCACTTGTGTGCCTAAATTTGTGCTCAGTGCTTTCACCCATTTAATTATCAGGACCCCCTAGCAGACAAAGGTTATGTTCATCACTATAAGAAAAGGAATAAGAGGCTTACTGAGGTTAACTTTCTCAAGGTCATCATAAAAAAATTAGGCAGCTGACCAATACCTAAGCTAAGACTTCTGTTCTTTGGGCAACATTTTCTTTTCCCTCTTTAATTGTTAATGAGCTGGATTTTAAGCGCTTCACAGACAATGCAGGGGTGGGAAGAATGGAATCATGTGATGGGTACATTATTTTCTTTTTAATAGTCTCAAAACTCCTCATTATCCAAGTAGAAAATGTGTTTGGTGTTAATGTGGTTTTAACACATGTTGAGTATTTGCTAATCTGCCTTTTTAACAAAGAGAGCTGGACTTAGCTCCTTCAACACTCAGCAGTCTCTAGCAAGAATTTGATAAAATTATTTTGATTTTATGTTCTATTTTGGGGACATCATATTGGTTTTTGTCATGTTAGGGATAAAAATTTGCCTTTTCAGGATGAAAATTATGAGAAAAATAATGAAAGAAAAATATTGACTAAATCACAGCTCACACATGTAGCTTATTATGCAAGTATAATGATAAAAATTTGGAAGGTGTGCCCATATAAATGAAGCTAAGATCTGTCCCATTGATTCACATGTCCTGCTTGCTCCCAGGACATGTGGTGCTTCATGGGATCATTGCCGCACTAAATTTTGAATTAGTTCTTTGTTTCCTTGGGAAACATATAGAAGTGATTGTAATGAAAAATAGCCCCTTTCCTAGGACTACTAAGGTGTCTTTCTTAAGTTTATATTTTGTAACCAAAAGTGACCCACGTTAGTAATCAAGTCTTAAAACCTAGGAAAAATATGTAAGTTTATTGCAAAAGATAATATCCCATTTAAAACAGTTTAGAAATTTACAAAACCTTACATTAGTACATAGTCTTTAAGAAGGTGCTCTATAGATGAGCTGTTAAGTTCCAAGTATAATGAATACACGTTTTTTTTTTTTTTTTAACTACAGAGAAAGCAGCTACATAAACTCCTGCCACTTAAGTTGATGGATTGATCTCTTTCCCTTCCATTTTATAAAAGTAATTTTTGCTAAATTAATATCTTTCCATTAAGCCATATAACCTCAAGTATAGCGTTTCTGTAGAATATCAAGGTAGACGTGACATAATATTTTACAAAGAAGCCATTTGCACATGAGTAGATGAGCATAGAGTTTGGATATTTGTATATGTGTGTTTCTTTTAACAGAGAAATGATCGTTTATGTTTACTGAATACTTTTCCTTCATACTGATTTCAAATGTTCAATTTTCAGAAATGACCTCCTTGCCACTTTCAGTTTGGAGACCCAAGCCATGCTGTGTTGTGCTTTGGTATAGAATCATATAATCTGGTCTGGTTTTATTTCTAGAAATGTCCATATTTATCAACCCCACTATCACTTACTGCAGGTGAGGGTTTATCTGAGACCCCAACATGTGTATGACAATATGCACTTCTTAATTACCAAGTATTATATACTTGTGTGAGTTACCTTAGATGCCTCTTCATCATTCCAGGCCCACTTTGCCAAACCAGTTCAATGCTGGGTCATTTTGCTTATTTGATGTTGGAGCATGCACAGAGCAGTTACAGTAAGTAGAGCAGGTGTTTATAACTCTCTTCAAAAATAGACAGACAAAATGATGAAATTTCAAGCATTTCACCAAAGGCATATGAGACACACTGCTCTGTTACCTGGGGTCTCTTAATTCCAGGAATGGGATTATTGTAATTCTAGCATGCTGCCTGAGAATATGAATTAATTTCAAAATTGGCATAAGCAATGCAAATTAAGATGGAAGCACTACTACAAGATAAAATTATGTAAGAGATCCCAAATGATTCTGCTCTATTTGACTATCCTCTTTGCTGTTCTTTTCCGTTGTTGGGGCCAACTGAGAGTTGATTGTGCAGATACGGAAAGATTTGTGGCTTTTAGCCAGTGGTAACATATCTTATTGAAATGTGGCTTCTTAAGTATGACAAGTGTATTTATCTTAATTTCAACTTAACGTTATGTATTCCAGTCTCATTTTGTGGGTTTAAACATTACACTAGAAACAGAACAAGATCATCTTGAATGACATTCTAAGACTTAAATAGTGCAAGCCGGGGTTCCTTGCCAAATTTTCCTTTCTGCTCTCACTGAAATAGCTTTTGCACTGCAGCGCTGTGACAGGGGGAGGTGAAACTGTCAGAGTGGTTTTCTCAGTTAGTCTCAATTTGCAGTGCGGTGCATGCATCCTATGTTCACACAGATGCTGCACTCTGCAAAGACTAACACAGACACCTGGTCTTCAGCGAAGGGGATTAGGAAATGCCTCCTTTGTGGATGGTTTTAGGATCTCTTTTTAAGCAGCATCAGTCCAACCACAGGCTGGTAGAGAATTAAAGGAGAAGGAATGTAACCCTTGCCCACCAACTTTCATCCCATGAACATGTAGCAATTAGTTAATGATATTACTTTTCACAGTTTGTTCAGCTATGTAAGTTGACTGGATCCATGTTTGGGGGAGTCTTGTCTAAAAATATTAGACTTTAAAAGAATTCAAACTTTGGGAAGGAAAGATCTTTAATACTAAAATGGAAATATATATATCTTTCTCTCTATATATATAACCCTTATCTCCAGTCCTGCTGCTGCTTCATTCCGGTGGCCATTGCCTGGTCACTAGGAAAAGAGACTGTATAGATTAATATACTTTTGATCCTATCTACAAGGCTGTTGCAGGGATGAATGTGTAAGAACCAATGTTGTGCCTTATCTTAATCTTGTTTATGTTGCTAGTTAGATGAAAAGGACAGACAGGCTATGGGATCTTATGAAAAATGCTTCAGGGGGATTAACTGGAGTTTTAAAGTTCCAACCCGAACCAGATCCTACCCATTTGCTAGTCAATCTGAGGCAGAGAAGAATGATGGTTTAAGGTGGACCCTGAGCAGCTACACACACAGGACAGCAACAATTCCTTACACCCTGGGATAAACCATACTCTGCCACAGACTGTAAGGCCCACATAGTGTGAAATGACAAATTCTTGATTTGGACTCAAGGACTGATTAAAACCAAAAATGACCCAACCCAGCAGGCTAATCTTGCATTTTTATACCCTGCTCACTTCTATTGTGTTACTTATCCCCCAAAATTAGAAAATCACTAGTTTATGTCTCTAATTTTTTTTCTAGGGTATCTGCTTATAACCTTCCTCTATCTTCCTGCTCTGCATAGCATTTTTTTTCTTTGTTTCCTTTGGGTTAATGAGCCCAGGATGGGAAGGAAGGAACTTAGCATCACAGAGGTATTGGAAGGTGCCATGGGGGTTGCTCATGGTAGGGATCTAGAACAGCAAGCCAGGATGTGGCCTGGTGTGTGTGACAGGGAACACAGCGAGTGGTGGTCACTCCGGGGTCCATGAAGTCCTCAGCAAGCAGTGGCACTCACTCAGGTGAGGTTGATGGTCAGGGGTCCAGCAGCAGCTAAACCAGCCTCGGTCTTTCCTGTCTTGCAGGTCTAGAGACTTCTTCGCTGAGAAGTAGGGAAGGCCATAGGCAGTGGTTCCCCACCTCAGGTAGCCAGTTATTGAATGGTCCCAACAAGGTCAGATCCACCAGAAACATTTCTTCTTCACCTTCTTGGTTTTCCGTCTCAAGTCCTGTTTCTCAGGGACCGGTGGTTCTGCTAGGGACTTTGGGGGAGGAGATGCCTCCTCAACTGGTTCCACTTCCTCCAGACTCTGTAGCACTTCATGGAACCTGCCTTCCTGCTGTCGAAAATCATATTCTACACTGAAAAAACACAGAGAGAAAAGGAGGAAAGTAAATTTAAACCAGCACATACTGATTTAGCATCTCTAAGAGAGCATCTTCCATTGACATGAAAGAGGGGCTTTGAGAAACTAGGTACTGTGTAACATTAGGGATATTATGCCACTCCTCTGAACCTCCAGCTCCTCATTGATTAAATTGGCATCTCAAATGCCTTCCTCTTGGGGATGTTATTAACTTTAAATGAAGCATGAAACAGGGCAGTCTGATAGTAGGCATTCCAGTAAATATTGCTCCCATCTCTCTCTTATACCTACTATGGCTTCTAATTGTCAATTTTTTTACACATTACCTGCAAAGCTGCCTCATTATAAAAGGTCTAAATAATACAGAGAAATAAAACTGACAACTGTTTCCTTATCTGTAACGTGGACATTATAATAACACCTATCTCAAAGACTTTCTTTAGAATTAATGTCTCGAGTGTGAGAATACAAATGAAGCTTTAGAGTAGTGCCTGGCAGGTAGTAAGCCTTCCATATGAGTAAGCTCCTATTACTGTGATTGTTATCATCATTACCATTATTACTACTAATATGTCTTGCTCTTTGCCTTCCTTCTCAGTGGTGGGTCTTGGAGAGCTTTACTTTATGCTTAGTACTTCTCAGCATAGACATATTTAAACACACTCCTTTCATGCCATTTCCTAATTCCACCTTTTTTGGTGGTGGTTATTTTACTTGTGAGTTTGAAGTTGTTACTGTACAGACCCTGCTGTATTGTCTGCACAGAGGTCTGTGAGGTAAACCCAACATTGCTGGCAAGCAGGGTTCCCAAAAATTCAGCAGGAGCACAGAAGCTCTGGCATGCACAGAGTAGGTGCTTCTGAAGACTTGGGAAGGAGGCCTCAGGAACAGTCAGCCTGCCTGTCATCCTGGCTAAACCTCCCCACAACCTGGAGAGCCAGGCCAGAAAGCTGGACTCCTGTAGTCATCCCTGCAAGCTGCCCAAAGATCCCTTTGGCCTTCAATGTCTGCTGTCCTTCTTTGGAAATTTACTTCTGGAGGAGTTCCCAGTGTCCAGGTGCTTGCAAGCAGGCTCTTAACACTTTCAGCTGTGTGTTTCCTGGTTTCAGAGCAGAGTTCTCAGAAGGCCAGAGATGGACAGCCAGTGTAGGAGGATGGCAACTGAAAGAAATGCAGGGTCATGAAAACAGTGCCTTCCCCTGGTTTAGCAAGGAGGTAAAGGAAAAACTTTAATGTAGTAGAGGAAAGACCCCATATTTGCATTTGAGTGGCATGACTGTCCAAATGGTGGCAAAGGGGTTATCATTAAACAGATACTTGTCCTTCTCATGTAACCTCCCAGAGATCCACTGTCAACTTTAGTGTTACTGAAAAGGCAAATCAAGATCATCATATGTGACTCAGGAAGCCACCAGTCAGTGCCTGTCACTGGGCATTCTGAGATGGATGGGGAAGGGCTGATGCCTCAGAAAGTCAAGTCACCTATCTGTGGCCTGTCCAATGGGGTGTTGGTGCTTGGGGAACATTTAGGAGGGGCCTCTGATGGTTTCATTTCTGAACTTTGGTAGATTTCACCCAGATTGTCATCCCAGCTTTTACCCTTTGCTTTCTCCCTGGTCCCTTAGACAGGGACACACTCCTACCTGACTGTAACGGAGGAAATACAGGCTGTGTTTTTCTTTGTTTCAAAGATTTATTTTATTTATTCATGCATACAAGAGCTGGGGTATAGGCCAGAGGTGCAGGGGGCGGGGGCAGGGAGTGAGAGGATTCACCAGAGACAGCAGGAAACAGAACAGGCAGATCTACTGAAATACACTGCTGAGGGGAGCAATGGGTGAGACAGGAGAGATCAGCTGAGCCATGTGGGTTAGCTCCCTGGCTGGGAATTGAACTCATGCTACAGTGGCTGTATAGCTTCATAATGCTGAGACTTAACCCCTTGTACCAACAGGGAGGCCCCAGGCTGTGTTTTTAAACAAACAAACAAAAAAAAATAGTGCAACTGTTTAGCTGTGAGATCCTGGGGAAATCATTTCTCATTGTTAAACTATAGTGCCCTTATCTACAAAATGAACATGTTGCCTACTCATAGGCTGTCCTTGAAGTTTACACCACATAATGCATGTACAACATAGCACACAGCAAGGCACTGTGTATTCTGCCAGACATTCAGCAAACATTTTTGAGTATTGTCCACATGCCAGGCTCTGTTCTGTATGTGCTGGGAGAGGAGTGATGTACAGACAAACAGACATCCCTGGCCTTCTGATGTTGTAATCCAGTGGCTCTGTGTCCTCAGTAAGTGCTAGGCAAGGTTGGGAGTTATTAGAGGTCTTTTAGTCAAAGCCCAGGATTTGTCAGGAAAGTGAGAAGAGTGTTCACAGACTCATACATTGAGGCTCCCACTTCCAGGATATACTCCTGGGTACTATACCCCTGTATGTCTCTCAGCATTGGGTGGGTTTCTGTCTGTACCACCTATACCTCACTGTCTACAGTGAAAACTTAAGGAGATGGATTCAGAGACTGGGGAAGACAGAATGTAAATTCTGTCTCATCCTCACAATTTCTAGTACAGCCCAATGCAAAGGACGGAACAAGAGTTCTTGAGTGGAACATACATGGGTTTGAAATGAAACCGCACCACTTACTAGCTGAGCAACCTTGGGCAAGTTACTTTTCTTTTAAAACTGAGTTGAAATTAGGGGTTATAAAGTTACGCCACAGAAAAGTTGTGCAAATGGGACACAATAGCAGGTGAAATTCCTTCCCTCGTGTGGGACATGGTCTCTGCCCACTCACCTCTTTACTAAATCTTTCATCTCCCCATCTCAGGAACTGCATGCCTTACTTAGCTCCTCACTCATACGCTCCCCTCTTCAGTAACTGTATACCTTGCGATCAGTATCATTCATCACCCCTCCCCTCCATGTACATTCAGGGAAGAATGCACTCTTTATGTTTCTATGGAAACACCACAGGGTTCCATTATAATCACTGGGACTTAGGGAGCACCCCACCCTCCTCTTGCAACTGCCTCCACTGGTCTTGACAATTTAAAGGGGATTGAAAGTGACTTTCTTTTCAAGGCCAGGCAAATAGCAGAGTATCAAGAAGCATGTGTGCTTTGGAAAGAAATTGATTAGTGTTTTTTAGGCCAAAGCAATTTATTAACATAAAGGAAAATAGTCCCTTTTCTTCTTATTCATCTGGTTGACAAACTACTGTTTATTTTGGAGGGGAAGAGAGGGAGTCGATTTTGCTTTGGTGGCAGCTGCCTTACAAATGATAAGGGAGCAGTGCCCGCTCTTATTTATTCTCTACTTGAAGCTGGGTGGAGAAGATGAGATACCCCTCAACTTCATACTCAGCCAACCCACATCATATCCAGCAACCTCTTGAAAAGGGGAATATATTGGTAACTTGGTAAGAATTCAAGCAAACTCTTTGCCTATTATTGTTTGTAAATTTTGAGGAATGAATCTGCCTTGAATTTAGTGTCATGGGAGAATACCAGTAACTTTTCCAATCTCACCTTCCCTTCTCCCCTTCTTCTTACACTTCCCACTGTTGCAACCCTACTATCTTCTGCCATTCATATTCTACATATACTCTATATTCCATGCAGGATCCTAAGAAGAGAGGCAGCTGAGTTCTTTAGTTGTGCAGAGCTCTAGCACATGAGGAGCAAATGGTGGTTAAGAAATCATTACAGGGGCCTCCCCGGTGGCGCAGCGGTTGAGCTCTGGGCTGCGAAGATGCCCGCAGCCTCTGCAGCACTGGTTCGATCCCCGGCCACCGGGTGAGGGTCCCACATGGCGTGCAGACCTCTCCTGCCGCCCGCTGCTCCCCTCAGCAGTGTACTTCGTCAGTCTGCCTGTTCTGCTCTCCCTCTGGCTCTGGTGAATTCTCTCACCCTCCCGCGCTTCTGACTGTACCCAGTGCTTGTATAAATAAATAAATAAGTAAGCAAGTAAATAAATAAATAAATAAATCTTAAAAAAAAAAAAAGAAAGAAATCGTTACAACACAGGATTCAGACCTGAGGCCATTGAGATGGCCAGGAGCATTCCAGGTCTGTGAGGATGTTCTTCTAAGGATGCATGGAATACCTGGCCCTTGGTCAGTGGTGCCCAGCTCACTGTTTGGGGAGCCTTGTACACCCAGAAAATCTGAGCATGACACCACACTGAGGGCATTTTACTAATCTAGCTGACAGATCAATGTTTTAACCATTATGCTAGGTGAAAAGCAGAAGGATGTTTCCTGAGTAATTGAAAATAGAAAGAAACATAAGTCATGGCTTGTCTGGAAGAAGAAATGGTGAAAAGCAAATAGTACATAAATACATAAACAAACAAAAGAACCAGGATATAGAAGCAGTGTCTTGGCTGGGCAGACTGAAGTTGGCTGGGTGAACCAAAAGTAGATACAAGTTTACTTAGAAACAACAGAAACATCTTACACTTATAAAGCACTTTCAAATTTGCAAGCCCTTCAGATCCGAATTCTCATTTCTATTCTCACAATAGCCAGGAAGAAGGGAAGGTCGTTATTTTCATTTAATAGAAAAGCAAGTTGAGGAAGGAAAGTCAAACCATGAAGCACAATCAGATTCTAAACCTAGTTTCCTGTTTCCTAGTTCTTTGTTTTTCCTGAAGAGGGATCAGATGTTTCAGTCCAGGGCCTGGCTGTTACCCGGGTCCTATTCTAAGAAGAAATAAATAGCAGGAGCATGTTTGGATAATGTTAGGGTAGGACACATGGTAATTTAAATTCGTACTAATAAGAACAATAAAAAAGGGAGGAAATGGGGGGAAAGGAGGAATAGAGGGAGAGACGGAGAAGGGATAGGGAGGGCTGAGGAGGAGAGGGCGACTACCATCTATGGAGTGAAATCTATATTGTAGGCACTATGCTGCAAACTTAGTCGTTCTCATGCATTTTATGATATTCTCAGCACCAGGAGAGAGATCATAGTATCTTTATTCC